CCCCCCCCCCCCCCCCGTGGGAATTTTGAAGATTGTGATTTTCTTGAAGCTCTCGACTAGCAGAATAAGATTTTTCTTGTTTACGCGAATTCTATCGTGGTGGGGGGGAGTAAGCCCCCCCCCTAAACCCCCCTAAATTGCTCAGAATTCCGACTTTTCCGCGAATTTTCCCATTGTTCTCGAAAAGGGTTGATTTTAGGGCAAAACTCCACAAAACCATTCTGAAAGCTCGTGAAATTTTGGACTAGAAAAGTTATAAGTGACTTTCGCCATTACCGGCAGTCCCCCAGAATGGGAGGGCTTAAAATGTCAAAATATCTCAAAGAACCCCGCACAGAGCATGGGGTCAACGGCTCTCTATGAAAGTCCATGAAACTTTAATAGATTGATGTAAAGTTCATAATTAAGGGAAAGCCAAAAAATTAGCTCATTTTTGCGAGTAGAAGCCGAGATATTCGCAATTGAATCCGGACTATTTTCTATCATGCCGCAGCATGGCGGAACAATTCCGAGTCCCCTCTCCTTTCCTTGTTCGGCGTTCTCGATCAGACCTCACGTCACTCACGTGAAGATAGGTGCTTATGCGTTCGGCTTGTTTGAATGCCGTCCCTCCCTCTCCCTGCATCCGTCAATTCTGTTTCAGCAACTACATTTCAGATTAAACCGACCGGCGGCGCGGACACGGGAGAGGTGCGAGTAGCAGGGAACTCCGTATCGCACAGCCCGAACGGAGCGTCCTAATCAAAGGAGTGAGTGTAAACAATGTGACATCGTAGTTACCTGGTGGAGACTTGGGGAGAGGGGATTTCCTGGCCGAAATGCTCAAGCAAGGTAAGGCGACACGGAGAATTTACCTCCGCCGCACAGAAAATAGTGCGGGTTCAATCGCGAATATCTCGGCTTCTACTCGCAAAAGTGAGCTAATTTTTTGGCTTTCCCTTAATTATGAACTTTATATCAATCTATTAATGTTTCATCGACTTTCATAGAGAGCCGCTGACCCCATGCTCTGTGCGGGGTTATTTCCGCGAAAATAACCGTTTCGCCGCGATTTCTCGCCAATAACGCGGAGAGAGGGTGGAATTGGTAGCCCGTTCTCGGCACATGTGGGCAGTAGATAACGGGACTTGGTCTCTTCTTCACTTTTGGAGAAAAAAAAAATATTTCTTAGCACTAAGCCATACAAGTGATCAATAGACCGAGCAATTCTACAGATCCAGGCAGATTATAAACTCACTTGAATGCTGAGAACGCCGTTCAACTGTCATTTACTTGCAATAACAACAAAATAAATCAAGAGAGTCAACTGATAGACCGTGGGCCAGCAAGGGGTAACCTTCCCCCCCCCCCCCCCCCCCTGTGGGAATTTTGAAGATGGTGATTTTCTTGAAGCTCTCGACTAGTAGAATAAGATTGTTCTTGTTTACGCGAATTCTATCGTAGTGGGGGGAGCAAGCCCCCCCCCCCAAATTGCTCAGAATTCCGACTTTTCCGCGAATTTTCCCATTGTTCTCGAAAAGGCTTGATTTTAGGGCAAAACTCCACATAACCATTCTGGAAGCTCGGGTTTTGGACTAGAAAAATTTTGAGTGACTTTCGCCATTACCCGCGGTCCCCCAAAATGGGAGGGCTTACAATGTCAAAATATCTCAAATTTCCGCGAAAATGACCGTTTCGCCGCGATTTCTCGCCAATAACGCGGAGAAGGTTGGTAATATCGTAAAATTGTTTATCCCTAAAATGATAGAGCATTAATTTTTCATACGAGGGGCGGCCTAACCCCTCGTGAGGGGGGAGGGGGGCCCCCTAGCAGTACCCACCCTATACAAACCGTCAAGATTGGCCGCTTCCTTGAAGTAGCGTTATGCGCAAAAATAGGCAGCAAAATGAAAACAAGTGGCGTTCGTTCTGAGAGAACATCAGTGTGACTTCTTGTGGGAGGTTACAGGGGGGAGGGAGGTACATCCTCCTCCCTTTTCTCCGAGTCGAACTATCTTGATAAATATCTGTCTGTGACCAAATGAATGATTGAATACTTCGGCAAACGATCCAATACACTTTAAGCCTATACTCCAAACGTTTCAAAAATGTTGACATGAGCTTAAGAATGTACATTTCCGTTAATTATGAATAGGCTCCTCTCAGTTTCAGTAATTTCCAAAAAATCAAATAGTATCTCTACGTTCCCTGATTTAATTATGTATCCCTTCAAATCTTAAAATTCTCCTACTGCAGCTAGGTTTCCCCGTCCCTCTTATTATTAAGCAAGTGACGTTTTTAAATTACCCCTCCCCCACCCTTTTTTAATGTTGGCTGGGGAGGCTAAGATGTCTAACGCCCCCCCTCCCCTCATTAAATTATATTAGTGTGAGCGTGACAATGACACTCCCTGAAAGTCGCCTTTTAGAGTATGGAATTTTCGCGTTTCTTTAAATTTTTTCGTGACTATTTTTTTGGGGGAGGGGGTGGAAGAGGAGGGGGGGAACTCTTCCCCACTCACCCCCCCCCTCGTTAAATTTTGTTAGTGTAAGTTTGTTAATGACAAGCCCTGAAAGTCGTCTCACAAAGTGGAATTTTCGCGTTTAATTAACGTTTTTCGTGATTATTTTTATGGGGGGGGAGGGGGAGGGAGGAGGATGTACCTCCCTCCCCCCTGTCACCTCCCACAAGAAGACACACTGATGTTCTCTCAGAACTAACGCCACTTGTTTTCATTTTGCTGCCCATTTTTGCGCATAACGCTACTTCAAGGAAGCGGCCAATCTTGACGGTTTGTATAGGGTGGGTACTGCTAAGGGGCCCCCCTCCCCCCCACGAGGGGTTAGGCCGCCCCTCGTATGAAGAATTAATGCTCTATCATTTTAGGGATAAACAATTTTACGATATTACCAACCTTCTCCGCGTTATTGGCGAGAAATCGCGGCGAAACGGTCATTTGCGCGGAAAGAATCCCGCACAGAACATGGGCTCAGCGGCTCTCTATGAAAGTCGATGAAACTTTAATAGATTGATATAAAGGTCATAATTAAGGGAAAGCCAAAAAATTAGCTCACTTTTGCGAGTGGAAGCCGAGATATTCGCGATTGAACCCGCACTATTTTCTGTGCGGCGGAGGTAAATTCTCCGTGTCGCCTTACCTTGCTTGAGCACTTCGGCCAGGAAATCCCCTCTCCCCACCAAGTAACTACGATGTCGCATTGCTTACACTCACTTCTTTCATTAGGACGCTGCGTTCGGGCTGTGCGATACGGAGTTCCCTGCTTCTCGCACCTCTCCCGTACCGGCGCCGCCGGCGGCCGGTTTAATCTGAAATGTAGTTGCTGAAACAGAATTGACGGATGCAGGGAGAGGGAGGGACGGCATTCAAACAAGCCGAACGCATAAGCACCTATCTTCACGTGAGTGACGTGAGGTCTGATCGAGAACGCCGAACAACGAGAGGAGAGGGGACTCGGAATTGTTCCGCCATGCTGCGGCATGATAGAAAATAGTCCGGATTCAATTGCGAATATGTCGGCTTCTACTTGCAAAAATGAGCTAATTTTTTGGCATTCCCTTAATTATGAACTTTATAACAATCTATTAAAATTTCATCGACTTTCATGGAGAGCCGCTGAGCCCATGCTCTGTGCGGGGTTCTTTGAGATATTTTGACATTTTAAACCCTCCCATTTTGGGGGACCGCGGGTAATGGCGAAAGTCACTCAAAATTTTTCTAGTCCAAAACCCGAGCTTTCAGAATTGTTATGTGGAGTTTTGCCCTAAAATCAAGCCTTTTCGAGAACAATGGGAAAATTCGCGGAAAAGTCGGAATTCTGAGCAATTTGGTGGGGGGCTAAGAAGCCCCCCCCCACCACGATAGAATTCGCGTAAACAAGAACAATCTTATTCTACTAGTCGAGAGCTTCAAGAAAATCACCATCTTCAAAATTCCCACGGGGGGGGGGAAGGTTACCCCTTGCTGGCCCACGGTCTATCAGTTGACTCTCTTAATTTATTTTGTTGTTATTGCAAGTAAATGACAGTTGAACGGCGTTTATTATTTTTCAATTTTACTTTTTTCCAACTCCTTCATTTTATGGCCAAAATTGAATGTTTAAGTTAGGGTTTTTTAGCCCCCTTTGAAACTTTCATGGAGTGGCAAAAAAAACTGTTGAAAACTATTGAACAGATTTTTGCGCAAATAAATTCACTACTAAACATGTACACCTCTAGGGAATTAAAAGTTCAGCTGCCTGTTGTGGTCCGATGGGATGCAAATCATCATTTTTCATGCTAATTTGGCCAATTTCCAGGGTTAATTTTCCTCTTTTGTGGCTTTTTCCACTGCTTCAATTAAAAGCTCTAAAAAGGTTCAGGAAAGTTCAAACAGGCAGAATAAACATTGAAATGTTGTAAACGAATGAAAAAATTTAATTTCAAGAAACACATGATATTAGTTTGCCCTGAATAATGATTACTTTCTAAATTTCTGCAGAGGCTCCGGAAAAAGAGGTTTTCCCAGGTTATTGACATTCAGGGTCCCAAATTTGACGGTTCTGAAGCCCTCCTAACATTTGCTGATGTGATACAAGGGATATGTAATTTTGTACCATTTCCAAGTTTACGGCCCCCTTGTATTACTTTAGTAAACATCTGGTGGCATTCGAGACAGTAACATTCAGAATCCTGGTATTCGAAAACCAAAGAAAACATATTTTTCCTGAGCTTCAATGTCAATTTTGTGACTTTGGATTTTGGGGAGGGCGGCTCTGTCCCCCATCTCAAGGGGTCAAAACCTTCCCTTCAAATGCGCTCCTAAAAAACTTCTGCTTGCCAAAATAAAGTGTTATAATTTCCCAAATTTTCATGAAATCATCTGTCTTTAACCGAGATATCGATTTTTGTTACTTTACCCATCTATGATCAATGCACTGCACACTGGTGGCCGCAAGAGCCACTGAGCTACCCGCAATCTGCATATGAAGGATTAAGGCCTGCTTGATGTTCAGCAGCACGACAGTGGATTCGAACCCTGCCTACAAACATCTGCGCGAAACCTTCCCTAGCCATCGGGACTGGTGATCCTCCCAATAAGATTTCTGGTCGACTGAGGCCAGTTGGACTGCACTTCTCATGGGAAGGCAGAGGCTTCAGTGGAAGTACCCAAAAAACCCCTGGTCATCAAGAAATTCAGCTACAAGACTAGTACTACTGGCTTGTGGTGGGCCCTGGACAGATTCCCGTTAGGCAAATGCCTCCACGCAACAATGACTAGTCCGTGACACACCACTACCAGCAGACGTTGGCTAAGGAAGTTGAAATAAATTTGTATCACCAAACTTAACGCAGCACAATTTTTCTATTCTGTTGTGATAAAAAATCATTTAACCTGTTCGAATATCTCTCACAACGCGGACCTTCTTTTGCAAGATTTTGCCAGGGGAGGTTTCACCATGTCAAAATAGATAAGATGGCAGGCTGATAAACCTACAATATTGTTAATACTAATACTCTTACATACATCAAAATTATAAGTTATTTGACACAGGTTTTGTATTTATTATTTCAGGTGATACCAGAACTTGCAGAAGAAATGAGTCCAGCAGATTGTGAAGATATCCGCAGGGTCAAAGCAACCTCTGCTGTCGATGTAAATCTGATCGGTGAACCAATAATTGGAATGAATAAAAATGAAGTGACAGACGTTGTTCCGTTGCAGGATTCAAAGTCAAACCTTCGAGATAGTCTAGGGATTGTAGACCCTGTGAAAGAGCTACAATATATAGTTTCTTACAATGAGTCAAAGAAAAATACTATTTGTTTGATGTATATTGACATCAATGAAGCAAAGAAACGGCTCGCAGAATTCCATAAAGTTGTCAAATTGAAGGCAAGTCGTTTTAAGGAGTCTAAGACTCAATAATTGTACTCTTAACTCTTTTGTCATTGATATGCAGGCATTGTTACCTCTTTTTTCTGCTCTCATTTACAATTTGTAAAAATGGCCAAATGCAGTTTACATTTCGCTGCACAAATCTATCCGTATTGCAACTCTTGAGAAAACTCCCCATCTTTTCCAGTTCAAGTCATGCTTTTTTATGATGTTCTGTCATTTATTTATTTTTTAATGTCTTGAATGACTATGTGGGATGTAGGGGGTGTAAACCCACACTAACAGTTAAAGATCCATCCCTCTAAGTCCCTAATTAAATCGGCTCGTGCGAAGACCGCTATTGTCCATTTTTTCAATTTTGAGATATTTGGGTTTGAATACTCTCGGAGGTCAGACGCACTCATTAATGTAGTGAAAATGTTTGTTCTTAAGGTTTGAACCCCTTTTGTGGGGGGCTGTGGTCCAAATCCGGGGGAAACTGCTAGTGTCCATCTTTCGTTATATGCCTCAAAATCGGTATATTGCTTAATTTAAAATCACAATATAATTACATAGGGTGTCCCAAAACAACTGAGACCAAGTCTGTAATTCGGAAACTATAATTGTTATTGAAATGCGGTTTGTAGGAGGTTGTAGTCCATACTGTTAGCTATCGAACCGCTAAATTTGAGCTTATTCGGTTGAAAACCCACCGAGTTAAAGCAATTTTTCAGGGACGAGTTGAAGATAACCCTACAGGATTTTTGAGCAATTTTTTATTTCGTGAACTGTCCCTGAGCCGCGCTGCAGATCGCTACATTGTGGATAATGTGAAGGGATCATGTGGGCACTGTTGTGGATGCAGGTTTTAACCTTTGAACATGTGTATTCATCGTAATCGAGACTTTTCGTCTGCGTGAAAGCTCAGTACAGCCAAAACTGTCAGGCATAACGAAGTGTTTCTCGCGAAGCACAATGAGCTCGCCCACCGAGTTGTAACAAGAACAACGGTATGCTATTCGCAATTGCGTTTGCTGTAGCCTTTCTGCCTCTGATACTTTGAATGAGATGACAGTTGCTTATGGACTAAATCGACTTGGCAAAATTATCATTCTTCGCTGGCATTCATGCTTTTCCGAGGGTCGAGAGTCGGCAGCTTTGGTTCCGCATTGTGGCTGGCCGTCAACTTCGGCGACAGGGGCCAACATCAGCACCGTGGCCGCGGACGCAATGTCTCCATTTCTTCACTGTCTTCCATGAAAACACATGCTCAGAGGTTATAACCTGCATCCAGAACAGTGCCTTCATGATTCCTTCACATTATCTACAGCGTAGCGATCTGCAGCGCGGCTCAGGGACAGTTCGCGAAATGAAAAATTAATCGAAAATCCTGAAGGGTTATCTTCAACTCGTCCCCGAAAAATTGCTTTAACTCGGTGGGTTTTCAACCGAGTAAGCTCAAATTTTGCGGTTCGATAGCTAATAGTATGGACCACAACCTCCTACAAACCGCATTTCGATACCTATCATAGTTTCCGAATTCCAGACTTGGTCTCAGTTGTTTTGGGACACCCTATGTACCTAAAAAGAGCGTTCTCTGAGGAAAAGCAACTTCTCCGGGGAAAATGTGGGTGATAGGAAAAATCTGAGATCATATTTGAATTTTGAAAAACAGCTCAAAATATATAGAAATCAATGTATCACATAACGAAGGCATTTTTAAAATGTATTTTCAAGACACTTAGAGTCCGGGAAAGCTAATACACAGTTTCAGGCTCGGAAAAATCAGTTTTGCCGGAAAATTGGAGGGTGATAGAAATAAACCAAAGTCATTTTCGGATTCAGCGGGTCTAAATACATCAGCAACCCACTACCTCGGGTCCAGGAAACAAGGGTTATTCAAAATTGGCGATTTTGCCCCCCTCGTGAATTTTGCTCGGAGTTGGATATGTTGTTCCCTATCACAAGACACGCCTTTTTCCGGCATTGGCAAGTTCACCCAGAATTTTTTCCACAGCGAAAATTTTTACAGCGGCGGAATTTTTTTTACAGCGTTGCCAAGTTGGAACTGTCAAAATTTCGTAAGTGACATTAAAATTGAGCTGTGAAGTCGCAGTTCGAACGAAAATTCTTTAAAAATTACGCACTTTAAAGATATTTTCATGCTTTTGATGTCCTATGAATTTTAACATGCATTGTTGCCAATTTTTCGATTTTTAAATTCATCAATTTTTACAAATCCACAATTATCATAAAAGGGCTGTATTTTGATTTGAATAAAAAAAATGTAAAATCGATAGTTCGTTTGATTCTGCATCCATCGATATATTATACCTGCCTTGGAAATTTTTTGTTCGCAAGGTATGACCATTTTTGTAAACAGCTTTTTGGAGCGACGAAGCTTGTTGAGTCCAGGCAGATAGACATTTTAGCCTACAAAAACACCTGGTAGCCTTAATTTCATGGTTCTTGGTGTAACTTTTGACGCTGAATCCGAATTTGAACTTTCCATCAAGGAATTGTCGCCTGAAAGAGGTGTGTGAAAAAAAGGCCAAAAATGCCTCAAGGCATTTTCGAATTTTGATCACTGGGGGTGATACAGTAGCTTCCGAGACGCCCAAAACCGCTCGCCGTTTTGCTTAGAAGCGCCGGGTTGCGACGTTGCCATTTTTTAAAGTGGAAACCTTTAAAAATTCATGTCTCTGCCGCATCTCAACCGATTTCAGTGAACTTTTTTTTAAAATGTTCCTCTTAAATAGAGCTTTCTAGTGATGTATAGTTTTCTGGGGTTTACTTGGCTTTAAGTGGCACTTACGCGGTTTCAGCAGTTTTTGATAGACACAAAAATTTAGTTTTTATTTTACCACGATCGTGGAATCGACAGAATCTAAACAAAAACCAGTCTAAATGAAAGTTCAGATTCTCACCTTTCTAACGGGCACAAGATCATCCCGGGGAAACGTTTAGTTTCCGAGATATGACCGCTCAAAGTTGGTCACATGCGCTTTTGCGCAATGTGAATGCGTCTTATCACTGAGTCATTCGCGAACTAGGGGTCCCTAATGTTCAATTTACGTTGAAATAATTACACAGAACAGCAAGGTGTGCAACACGAGCCGTATTTTCACCTTTGGCTGGCGATGTGCGACGTTGCCATTTTTTGAAGTGAAAACTCTTAAAAATGCATAACTCCGCTGCATTTCAACCGATTTCAATGAACTTTTTTTTAAAATTTTCCTCTTAAATAGAGCTATCTAATGGCATTTAGGTTTCTGGATTTTATCTACCTTGGGGAGGCACTTAGGTCGTTTATATGGTTGTTTGCAGAGATTTTTCATACAAAAAATAGTGTTGCTATTTTTTTTCTTTCTTTTTTTCCTTTTTTTCGGAAGGGGGTCTGTATTTCCCCCGATTCTTTTTAATATTCAAACTAGATCGGAAGATCACCATCGCTTAAAGTATAATGCAAAGTTCTTTGTAAATTAGCAACACCACCTTCTCTTGTTCAATGAGAGCGTCGCTTTCAATATTTGTACACGTAAGAACAGTGATTAAAGAATCCCTTTTTTTAAAGTTCTTTCTTTTAAATTTTGCCATTTCAAACCCTCCCACAACCCGCGGAAAAAAGAACTTTCATTTAGACTGGTTTTTGTTTAGATTCTGTCGATTCCACGATCGTGGTAAAATAAAAACTAAATTTTTGTGTCTATCAAAAACTGCTAAAACCGCGTAAGTGCCACTTAAAGCCAAGTAAACCCCAGAAAACTATACATCACTAGAAAGCTCTATTTAAGAGGCACATTTTAAAAAAAAGTTCACTGAAATCGGTTGAGATGCGGCGGAGACATGAATTTTTAAAAGTTTCCACTTTAAAAAATGGCAACGTCGCAACCCGGCGCTTCTAAGCAAAACGGCGACCGGTTTTGGGCGTCTCGGAAGCTACTGTATCACCCCCAGTGATCAAAATTCGAAAATGCCTTGAGGCATTTTTGGCCGTTTTTTCACACACCTCTTTTCCAAATTAGACAATAATGGCTTAAAATCTGCCTTTTTTGCGGATTATGGCCTGTGACTTGTCAGAGGTTGATCTGACGTCAGAATTGGTCATTTCCTTAATTGGAACTCGTTAAATTTTCATCAAACTGGATGCAATGTTTTTTGCTCACGGCAAAATAAAATATGCAACAAGCAGAAAACTGTAAAAAAGCATCAAAATCAATGCTTTTGGCGGTTTTTGGCCTACAAATTTCTTGTTTTACTACTGAGGGAATGTTTCTTGGCAAATGTGTTGAAGTTGACCATACTAATGAACAATATGGGCGGAATTTAGTAATAGTGACAATATGATGAAACGGGACACATTCCAATGTTGCCAAGATTAAGCATAATACTATACTTTTTGCTGGCTTTGGCGATATTTTCCCTATGTTCTTTGTTCGCTTCTAATTTTTAATTTCTATAAATATGACTCTCATGAAGTAACACTTCTGAAGAATAGTTTAATTTTCAACTTAGATTCATACTAATATCCATTGTACTTAGTCCAGAGATGTAACACGCTGAATACAATACAGTGAATTTTGTCGAATCGTGTCAAGAAATCACATTTTGAGACTTTAACGGAAAACTTTCTGACACAAGTGAATGAATATAATGTACACTCTAGATTATTTACATAAATCAAAGACAGGAGGCATTGCAATATTACCAAAATTACGTTCAATTGTTGAATTTTTGCAGTATTTGACCATTATCACTTATCAGCGCATTCAGTATACATTTTTATTTTATAATTTTGAGCAAATGAAGGTGAATCAAGAAAAGTAACAATGCCCAAGTGGGGAAGACGCCCAGGGAAAGGCGGTAAGGGGCTTTAAATGGAATGAGGGAGCTCGCCAACTTCCTGAGGACTTATGGGAAGACAGGGCTTTATATGGCGTATGGCACTATATGTATGTATGTAACAATGCAATAGTTTGTTGTTACACTCTGTGTAATTAAATTTGTCCTAACAGTCATTACCTTGGCTGGAAAACAAGAAATACGTAGGAGGAAAATTCCCAAAAGCGTCCATTTTGGTGCTTTTTTTACAGTTTTCTGCTTGTTGCATATTTATTTTGCCATGAGCCAAAAACATTGCATCCAGTTTGTTGAAAATTTAACGAGTTTCAATTTAGGAAATGACCAAATCTGTCGTCAGATCAACCTCTGGCAAGTCACAGGCCATAATCCGCGAAAAAGGCCAATTTTAAGCCATTATCGCCAAATTTGGCAAAGGACCCCGCTCACCTCTTATGGGAAGCTGCACCACGACCGATTGCCTTCTGACTTATGTTTTTCGATTCTCCTCAAGATGCTGATCAAAAGTAATAATTGCGCCAACTTTCTTCGATGCACCGTTTTCGCAAAAAACCTAAGAGAAGATTCAATTATTCGGCGACTATGAATAAAAAAGAACAAAGCATTTGAGGACAGGCTCGATGTAAAGAAGGAAAAAACGTAGCGCGTGTCCGTCTTCTTATCTGTACCTGCCGACTCAGAGGCTATCTCTCTCCCGCACTCGCCCGGTAGACGTTCAGACTTTCCTGTTCTTATGCTCCTCAAGAATCTGATTTGGATGGTCGAGCAAAACGGCGAGCGGAATCCGAGATAAGACTGCCGCTCAGTGTGGGAGTTCCCCTGATTTGTTCACTCGAGTACTGAAATGAGGAATCTTTCTGGCTTTTTATCGCCGAATAATTGAATCTTCTCTTAGGTTTTTTGCGAAAACGGTGCATCGTAGAAAGTTGGCGCAATCATAACTTTTGATCAGCATCTTGAGGAGAATCGAAAAACATAAGTCAGAAGGCAATCGGTCGTGGTGCAGCTTCCCATAAGAGGTGTGCGGGGTCCTTTCGGGCAACAATTCCTTGATGGAAATGATGGCCGGAAATTGCCACCTCGGTTTTTTGCTGATGGATTTGCCAAAACTTGGAACTTGAGGTATTTTGGCATAAGATTAACACATTAGAACTTGCATTTCTGGAAAAAACCAATTTTCGGTCATTTTCACCCCCTGACCACCCTTCATTTGAACAGCCAAAATGTCAATTATGTAATCGGAAATGCCCTTCAGAATTACTCATTGACGACTGTAGAAAAAAACGTTTAAAAAAAAAAAAAAAAAAACATCCCCCTGAAAATCCGAAGTTTTCGAAAATGTATGCAATTTTTGGCTCTGAGGGCTCATTTGAGGCCCCCAAAATTCTCCATATGGTTAAAATTGGTAGTTTAAGTAATCAGAGGCTTAAAATATGCATGTTTAAGAAACTTGAGCATTATTTCAAGGAAGAGAAAAATTTTAAATAATATCACGGGCCTTGCTATGGGTAATTTGGCTATTTTAGCCCCAAAATACCTTTATATCGACTTTATTTTCCAGGAGCTCAACAGAAATTTTTTTTTTTTTTGGCTTAAATGACTCAGTAGACACTCTACTTCAAGAACCTGAAGATTTTTTGCTTGTGACTCGTCAAAAAATTTAAACTCGTTCCGACGCACCGTGAGGGTTATCGATAAGGGCCTTTCTTGGCCCCTCCTAGAGAGCCTCTTTTGGCCCCCCTAGAATTTGGAAATATATGCGGGTTTTCCAAGTTGACTCAATGTAGTTTACAGAAATAATCATGATTTGGTCCAAAGGCCACTGGATATATGTTAAACGGTTGCCTGAACATACGTCTGCAGGCGCATTTTAACAAAAATGTGTGTTTTTCTATTACTCTTAGGCTCTTTGACACTAATCATATCGTCTAACTAAAACGAGCTTTTGATATGATATCAAAGAGGCCTTAGGACACATTTTAATCCTGGTTTGGTTTTAGTTAGATGATGCGCTCGTAGTTAAAAAAACTTTTTCAAAAGTCGACTTTTAAGGGACATCCGCAAAAATCTTAAGGAAGCACCTCTCTCCAACTGCATGCAAGCTACGTATATTAGCGAGGGCAGTTATCAAGCCTTGTTAAACTCTTTCAAGCCAAGAAAAAACCTTAACAACGTAATTCCCTAAGATTTTTGCGGACGTCCCTTAAGAGTCGACTTTTGAAAAAGTTTTTTTAACTATGAGGGCATCATCTAACTAAAATCAAACCAGGATTAAACTGTGTCCTAAAGCCTCTTTGATAACATATCAAAAGCTCGTTTTAGTTAGACGATACGCTTGGTGTCAAAAAAGCCTTGGAGTGTTAGGAATACACACATTTTCGCTAAAATACGCCTGCAGACGTATGTTGAGGTTACCGTGTAACATGTATCCAGTGACCTATAGACCAAATTATGATAATTTCCGTAAACTACATTGAGTCAACTTGGAAAACCCAAATACATTTCCAGATTCTAGCGGGAGGGGGCAAAAAAGGCCCTTATCGATACCTCTCTTTTGCCCAGTCAATCTCCAGTTTTGGGCCAAGTTTTTAATTCATGTGTTTCCCTTTTTTCAGGAAGAACTACTACAAAAAATAGTGAAAAATGCTGATGCTGCTATACAAGTGCAAAGGAAATGTGAATTGAAACTCTCCAAACTCGAAGGAGAGAGTGGTGCAATAAAGTCCCGTCTTGCAAAGTTTGAAAAGAATCTCTTATACAATGAAAGAGGAAACATGAACGATATTGCAAAATTAAAGAATTCATTGATGACCTGTGAGAGTAAGCTAAAAGATATGAAAATTATTCATAAAATTGCTCGAGATTGTCAAAAAAAGTAAGTTTTTTTATGTATTTTGGTCGAGCAAAAATTTTCATCGAAAACAGTGCTCATTCTTCCAAATTTTACAGGAAGATACCCTCAGATTAGAAGTGAACATAATACCAAATTAGAAAATTTAAAATCTCGGGCCAATGCTTACGTTGTTCTTGTGAATTTAATTGAGGACACCGCACCAAGAACAGCCTATAGGCGTATAGGTCGTTATTACGCCCATCTGCTTTTCGGATTCTGCGTACCCTGGACTATGCTGTGGTAGCGATAGAATATAGATAGGTAATGGCTCGAGGTCGAAAACCCTTTTTTTTCCGAGTTAAGTCAGGCCTCTGGATTGATGGATGCAAGAAGGACCTATATGCGCAGCCTTATCATTCTCGGTTCGCGGGCATCGGCGCGGCGCGGCGATAGTGATGGCTCGATTTTTTCATCTCACTTTATGAAAATTTGTTTTTATTTCAGAAAAACGAGCTATTGAAATAATTTATTCTCCTCTCAAACTATCCATTCCTCCAAAAATGTATACTTCGCATATTGCCACCAAAATGACAGTTGGGCGTAATACGGGCCTATAAACTTAAGGGCCTATAAGGTGCTAGTTACCCCTTTCTATACTCACTATCGATATTTTTTCATTTTGCGTTAATCATGCGTGATTAAAATGATTTATACTTCATATTGCCACCAAAATGACTGTTGGACGTAATAATGACCTATAAACCGCTTTTTTAAATTAAATACATTGAAGTGTAAACCCAAAATGTATCGCAAAATCTACCCGGCATCCTTCCATAGAAGGGTTAGGTCACCCAAAAACACCAAAACAGGGTACCTGCACAGAAAAGTCTGCGCAGTACATAAAAAACAAAACTTTAATTGTGTTTTTCTCAAAACGCGGTTTCCAGTTATAGGCTGTTCTTGGTGCGGTGTCCTCAATTATGACTGGTCTTCGACAACAGTCCCCAAAGAGTGTTGACCAATCTCGATTCACATTTTAAAAGACCTGTCAGACTGAAAAATACAAGAAATTCCAGTATAAAATAATAAAAATATAAAAACTATAATAATACTAGTTAGGGAGCTTTGCCCCCTAGACCCCTATCATTCGCTTCTTGAGTGATGGTGGCCTCACTACCACTTTGATTGCATTCGAGAAAGTTCCAGAAATAAATGCCACTCGTCAACCCACAACACTCTCCCTAAAGTTCAAGAAAATTCTAGAAAGCTGATAAGGACGCGGCGAGGGTCTCAGTTTATTTTGTGCTTCACCTGGAGAAAATTTGAGAAAGTTCGAGAAAATTCCAGAAAAATTGTCATCAGTCATCGCATGCCATCTTATTAAGGTCCGAAAAACTCCAAAAATGTACAAGAGAGGAGTAATAAGGGTCTCCTTTTACTCGTAGTCACTGGTATGAGGAAAATTCGAGAGAGTTTTAGAAAGTTCCAGAAAAAGTAACTACTGATCGTCAGGTGGCACCCCTCTTAAGTATAGGATAATTCTAGAAAGTTTTTGGAAGACATAGGGAGAACCTCCTATACCAGCACCGGCCACAGTGCTTGCAGAAAGTGAAGAAAGGGATCGGAAGGAGCCATGGGTCGCAGCTGTGTGGTCAGGTAGACGGAGGGGCCGGGACACTGCCCAGTCGTCAGCAGGGGAGCGGCAACGAACTACACCTCTAGAATGGCTGACCAGTGTTAGAGACCTGTAACGTTTTGAAGTTGATATAGGTTAGGTTTACTTGGGCTCACACAGCAGGCTGCCATCTAAACCCATGTAAGACACTGCCCACCTTTTGCCCCAATTTAGTTGAATATAGTGATAGCAATGAAAAGATGGCATAATAATTGCTCTTCAGAGGTTTTCTTTACTCAAAAAATAGGAAATTTGAAAGCAAACCTCAAAATAATTAAAGTTTACAAAGGTTGAAATTTTCACATGTAATCCTTATGAGCAAGACGCGGTAGAAATGGAGATAGAGGTTAGTTATACTTGGGCTCCCACCCCCCTCCTGCTTTCAAAAACCGTCCCATGCGCGTTACGCAGGTTTGCTATCTGGCAGCCATTCTAGAGGTGTGGTTCGTTGGGGAGTGGGCGTCGAGGCGACAAATATTTGATAGTTATGTTTAATTAACCTGCTCATTTGTTGCTGACCACTTTACTCTAGGAGGATTTAAAATCACAGAGTGGACCAGCAGCACAACAAGTTCTACGTTGTCAGTTAACCTCTACCAGTAATTGCATCATTTGAATCCCAGCCGTCATGCAATCATTAAATGATGACTAATCTAACATTAATGGCGTTTGCTCTGTCAACCAGGACATTGACTGACAAGTGTCGTCCATTGCCAACCAATTTTTATTTATCACTAAAACAACATTTTTCGTTATTGCTACTGCAAAAACTAAGACTGTCAGCCATGGTCAACATTTGCCAACCAATGGTGTACCTTTGCCCGCGTCTAGAGATAGTTCATAACGTTTTGCATTCAGGACGAATATATTTTACATTATAGAATTTGTATGAAAAAGTTCCCATGTACCATAAAATGAAGAAAAAAAAGCCACTTTTTTTTAAAATTAAGTTAAAATGCTGTAGCCAGCACCTTTTAGCAACTTTTTTTTTTTTTAATTCATACAAACTTTTTGCTGGAATACAATAGCTATGATGCTGTGTCATGGACCGAGAGAATAAATACGGACCCCCAACTCCCAATTTAAACCTGTATTAAAAACTGTTACTGAGCGACTGCAGCAAACCTGGCTGAAGGTGTGGTGAACTTAACGCCACAGCGGTCCATGATCGTACCTCTATAGTAGGCAGTATTCCATGCAATGTTTGTAAATTTTATGATTCATTTATTCAGATACTTTAATACATTTTAATTTCGCAAACTAATGAAATAGTATCGGTACATACCTTCTGCAGAGGTCAATGAGAAGGACTTCGATTTAAAGTATCTTATCAAAATACCAGCAAAGGACGACGGACCGGTCTTATGGGAAAAGTGGGCCCGGTTAAATCGGCTGGCGTTTTGATATGTTGTAGGTCTTCACCTACTGATCAAAAGTGTCAATGGGCATTTCTCCCTATCTCGAAGTTTTACCCCCCATTTTGGGGGTCAAAGTTGCCAATTCGGCGTATAATTGGCAGTTTTTACACCCGGGTTTATTGGTCGCCTATGAGATTCTTTGATGGTTTCTTGAGTCTTTTGTATCCTCTGAATAGGCTAGAGACCATCCGAACTCAAAAACTGACAATTTTGCCTTATGGGGAAGGGGGGGGGGTGTTCACGCCACCGATTTCAGAGTCGGCGAGCCGCATTAAACCGATTCTTTCGCCATGTTTTGGAGAATTTTTTATGCAAATGATTGCGACTGCATCTTGAAAGGTCGACTAAGATGCAGCTCAGAATATACCCCCGGGCGGGAGGGAAGGGGGGGGGGGTGCGACCGAACTCGAGCAGCGTAACTGGCTTGCGCGGGTCGGGTCAAACCGATGCTTCTATTATGTTTTAGAGAACTTTTTTGCAAATGACTCAGGCTGCTTCTTGAAAGGTCTACTAAGATGCAGCTCAAAATATACCTCCCCTCCCCCCCTCCCGGGGGGAAGGCGAAAATTGGGCCGAAAAGCCGACCGAACTCGGGCAGCGAAAGTTGCCCGAGTTTGATTGTTGATCGGTTGATGAGTTGATTGGTTGATGAGATTGAGTTGATCGGTTTGATTCAACTCTCGCGAGTTGCATCAAACCGATGATTTTGTCGTGTTTTGGAGTTTTTTTTTATCCCAATGAAACAGACTGCATTTCGGAAGGTCGACTGAGATGGAGCACGGAATATGCTTTATGAGAAAGGAGGCTTCTCAATCCGCACCCTCCCTTGCAATAGGATCTCTCAGCATAGGTCAGTGTGGCACTGACACTAGTAGAGTGACACTTTTTAACCTGGCTAGGACGATTAAAACTTCATACCATTTAACGCATCATTCAATTTTCAGCATATCCTGATGCATTTCAGAATCTCGACGAGGGGAGGGGTTATTTGCTTTTGAAAAGAAAAAAAATTAAAAAGAAGAAGTACATGACCTTGTTTTTTTCTTAGATTTTCTGATTACGTAAAAAAATCTCAGCAAGCTCGCCACTCTTTCTGCACTGAGAGCTTCCAGGATTTGATACATTACTTATGGAGCTCCAGTAGAAAGAATGAAAAACCCAGAACTCGTCAAATACCTTCAGAACTGATTGCATTGCATATATTGCCTTTTTGCGAATGCTTTGCTTTCTTCCTTGCCTTTCTTGACATTCTACAAAACTGTTTAATGCTCGATAATAATGTGCGATTTCAGTTAAAAAATCACCTAGATGAGATACTTCTAAAATCAACCGACGTTATATAGTCTCAGCCGTAGGAATCATCTGCACCATTAGCTTTCGCTTATAGAAATATTGGGCTCAGTCGGAAATGCGTGTCAGCTAAAACGACCCTCGGAATTATGTATGAGTGATGGTGGTGGTAAAAAATGCCAAGTATAGTGATACTAGTGTCAGTGCCCAACTGACCTATGCTGAGAGATCTTATTCCAAGAGAGGGTGCGGATTGAGAAGCCTCCTTTCTCATACAGCATATTCCGTGCTCCATCTCAGTCGATACTTCGAAATGCAGTCTGTTTCATTGGGATAGAAAAAACACTCCAAAACATGACAAAATCATCGGTTTGATGCAACTCGCGAGAGCTAGTTTCGCTGCCCGTGTTTGGTCGGCTTTTCGGCCCAGTTTTCGCCTTCCCCCCGGGAGGGGGGAGGGGAGGTATATTTTGAGCTGCATCTTAGTAGACCTTTCAAGAAGCAGCCTGAGTCATTTGCAAAAAAGTTCTCTAAAACATAATAGAAGCATCGGTTTGACCCGACCCGCGCAAGCCAGTTACGCTGCTCGAGTTCGGTCGCACCCCCCCCCTCCCGCCCGGGGGTATATTCTGAGCTGCATCTTAGTCGACCTTTCAAGA